ACATTTTAGCAGTTTAAGTGAAACACAGATATCTCCATTTAAGCCCTTTAACCTTCCCATTTAGAATATATTGCTTAAAATATTTCCTCTACATAGAGAATGACATAAGACAATGTTATAATTTTTGCCTCAGTTGATGAAACACACTTTTAGAAACTCAAAGAGAAATTTTTATTTTCTCATATCTTTTCTTGCATTGCCTTTTCTTTCTTCCTAATGTTCTAAAATTCCTTCTTTTATCATTTTTTTTTCTGTTTCAAGAATTCTTTTAGCCATTCTTTTAGGGTAAGTCTAATGACAACAAATTACATTAGTTTTTTGTTATTGAGAATGTTTCGATTTCTTTATTTCCCTTTTTTTTCTGTCTTCAGGATTTGGTGTTTACAGTTCCATTTTTTGTCCCTCTGTTTTCAAGATTTCTTCTTTGTCTTAGACTTCAGAAGTCTGATTATGGCTTATCTTGATGTGTATTTATTTGAGTTTATCCAATTTGACACTAGCTCAGCTTCTTGATTCTGTATGTTTATTGTATAGTTTGCCAAATATGGGGAATTTTCAGCCATTTATTCAAAGAGTATTTTTTTTTAAATATGTTTTTCAACCTTATATTTTTTCTCCATTTCTTCGTAGATTCTGATACATAAATTTAAGACTTTCATTTTTCTTCTATTCTACCTTCTCTTGTTCAGAGCAGGTAATTTCTAAATTGTCCTATGCAAGTTCACTGAATCTTTCCTTTGATTGCTTTATTTGGCTGCTAAACCCATACATCAAGTTTTTAATTTTGGTTATTGGAATTTTTCTGTTCTAAGATTTCCATGTGTTTCATTTTTATATCCTCTATTTATTTGCTTCAAGTGGGTTTGTAATTGCTCAGTGAAGGCCTGTTATGATGACTGCTTTAAATTCCTTGTCAGATAATTTCAACTTCTGTGTCTTGTACTGACATCTGTTAATTGTCTCTTTGAACAGCGTTTTTCTGTTTTTTAGTAAAATAAATTATTTTCAACTGTATCCTGTTACATGATGAAACTGTGGATTTTATTTAAATTTTTGGCAAGCCTCCTCTGACTTCATGTGTCTGAGTCCACTTGGGCTGTGAGAACAAAATATCATAAACCAGGCAGCACATAAACAACAAAATTTTTGTTTCTTACAGCTCCGGAGTCTGGAAAGTCTAAGATTAAGGCATTGGCAGATTTTGCGTCTAGTGAGGATCCATTTCCTGGTTCATTGATGACATTTTGCTCTGTCTTCATGGAGTGGGCAAATAAGTCCCTTGGGCTGATTTTACAACGGAACTAATTCTCCCCCAAAAGCTCTACATCTAAAACCATCAACATATAAATTCTGGGGGTATACAAACATCAAGCCATAGCACCAGGCCAGTGCTGTGCCAGTGGGGGAGACCAGGGCTGCCCTGTTGTTTCCTGATGGGATGAGTCCAGGCACCCACTTGACCTCCACCGACACTGTGTTACTGTGCAGGGGCAAGGGCGCCTCATTACAGCTGGGTGGAGGTGAAAGACAGTCCAGACTCTCTACAAGGCTTCTGCTGGCTCCATCCTGGACAGGGAAGGGTGCTTCATCACTGCTCCTCACTGGATCTTCACTGATGATGTGGGAAGGGATAGTGGGGAGAGGGAAGGTCATTGCCTCAGAGCAATGGAAGAGTTTCAGCGTCCCTGGTGATTTCCTCTGATACCATTGTGGCGAGGAAGGGAAAAGACATCTTAGGACTGTTAAGTAGGGGCTGAAGTTCAGGCTCCCCATGTGGCCTTTACAGATGTCTTTGAGAGACTGGCTCCCCACTATACTTCTCTGATGTAGCCCTGAAGGGAAGCGAGTTGTGCTTTGTTGCAGGTGATTGAGGGCAGAAGTCTGGGTTCTTGTACTAACCTCTGAGATGGGAACGGGGCTGCAGTTTTGTTTGTGGTATCTGACTAGAACAGGCCAGATAATGTCTGAAAGTTTCGTATCTTGCTAAGCTTTTCCTTCTGGGGAAGGCTTTTTTGTCTGAGCCCACTGCTACCTCCAGGTCGCTGACTTCTCCAGTACCTAGTCTGGGATATATATGAGGCAAAAAGAAACCCAGGGAACTCACTAACATGGTTTTCCTTGGTCTTGTGGGGTCTAGGCAGTCTGCTTTCTCTACTTCTCAAACTCTTCTTATCTTTGTTTCAAGTATACTATCCAGGGTTTTAAACTATCCTTGGGGAGGAATAGGGAGAAGATTGTCTACTCCACCTCATCTGGAATCATATAGGAAACTTAAAATTGCCTGTTAGGTATTTATCTTCATAATAGGTTAATTATACTTCATTAATTCACATCTTTCAGGCTTTAATGAAACCAAAGTATGTACGTACTAATAGCATTTGCTGTTCTGCTTTTAATTTTAAAGGCTTTGTTTGCATTGCTGACTGAAGACTTGAGCTCCTGTTGGTAAGAGATTTCCCATCATTTGTGAAGAGAAGCTGATGTGCTAAGATACTGCTTCTTCTGTCTTGCCTTTTTCTATTCCAATTACTCTGACTCCTTCCCGTTTGACATGATTAGAGATAAGTGACTGTAATTTAGGAAGAAATTATGGTTCTGAGAAGTTAAAACCCTTGCCGAGTTTAAAGTTTATTCTCGGATAGGAGCAACTTGGTTCTATAATCAGGATCTCTTCATGATAATAACTGTTTCTTCTTAAAATTGGATACTTAGAACTACTTCTAATACCAATATAGTTTCAAATATAAAAGATGAACAAAGTTCAGAATTGAATATAAAATAAGTCAGCTTATTTTATTAAATTGTGTGCGTGGAGCCCAAAACAGTACCTTTTGTTCTGTTTCCTAATTTTATAAGAAATACTTTTCCCTATGGAAAAAAATTCCACTAAAGAATATACAGAACACGTACCATAAAAACAATTGTTAGCATTTCAATGTTTATTTTTTTTTCCAGAATATTTTCTCACTTTCCCTATGTTCTATTTAAAAACAAAAGAAGGAAACCTAATGATGAAATAGTACTCTAGTACACAGATATGCCGTACTTCATTTAACCATTCTCTGTTGATATTAGCTGGCAGCCATTAGCCAAGTAGGTATGACAATTTCCTTGCCAGCATACCCCATGTTGCTTAGTGGAAGGACTCGTGGAAATAGGACATTTTGCAGTGACATTGAATGTAGGTGAACTTGCTCAAGGACCAGGGCGGATTAGGGTGTTCCCGGTTTAGGATAATCGGGTTTAGGGCATTCCCAGTTTAGGTTCCAGGTTTAAGGTTTAAGATTATTCCTGCTGGGAATAGGGCGTATCCTGCTGCCTGAGTTCCCCTTGAGTTCTCATGGGATTCAGACAGTATTTTTTGGGAGACAGAAGCCCAGTGGATGTGGATTTGGGCAGAGAACGTGGATTTGGGCAGAGAACGTGGATTTCCCCAGAACGTGATTGTAGACGGCTGGTGTGAGTTCGGGAATAAAGAGTTGCTGTTTGAATCTACAAGCTGTGTGGTGGCTCGTGATTGTGTGCCCAGCCAGACTGCGGCATTTGTGCCCAGCCAGACTGCGGCAGATATTGATGTAAGTCATTTTCTGCTTTTTCTTATTACAATACAACTAGAATGAATATAGCTGATTATTTAAATAGAGGCCCAACTTCCCGAGGTAGAAGTGCCGGTGAAAGGACTAACACGGTTTTAGGCTTCTAATACCTACTGCGGAACCACCACAGAAGATGACAGCAGTCTACATTTTGCCGGCGTGTGTGGGTGGTCACTGCTCCCCACTGCAGTGGACACACACACTCCTGCTGAACCTCCTTGCTTTCCCCTGCATGTTACCTTCCTATCCTGCTCCCTCATACCCCACCTAAATTCTCTCATTTGTAGCCCAGCTCTTGCCTCTCACTTCTGTGAAACCTTTTCTGCCTCAAAAGAACTTTCCCTCTAGACTTCCAGCACTCACCACTACTACATCTTTCAGGTCTCTAGTGGATCTAGATGTCCATATCTTTATTTCTCCAGTGAGATGGTGACTTCCTCATGGGATGGGCCGAGAATGTCCTGGGTTTGGGGGCATTATTAGTAGTGCCTATGCTATTAACAACATAGGTTTGTTAGTTGACTATAATGTTTCTTAATTTAGACCCTGGCACTTTCCAAAGATTACTGCAACTCTTTTGATAGGGAACACATCAAAATGGGGCACACTGCTTCCTTAGATCTGGAGATAATATTTTATTATACTTGGGAAATACTTAAGTGACTAGCTATGAGCAATTTAAAAAGTGTACAAAGCACATTAAAACATTTCTGCACATTCCTGGGTGCTGTGGTGCATGCCTATAATCCCAGTGATTGGGATGCTGAGGCAGGAGGATTGCAAGTTCAAAGCCAGCCTCCGCAATTTAGCAAGGCCCTAAGCAACTTAGCAAGACCCTGAATCAAAATAAAAAACAAAAATGGCTAGGGACGTGGCTCAGTAGTTAAGCACCCCTGGGTTAAACAACAAACCTCATAATTATTTGATCAAGCAGCACACAATGGAAGATAGAGATGGTTTTCCTTATTTCACATGTGACATTTGGCCAGTCAATAGGGATTCACATCCCCTGTTGATCAAATGCTACTATGAAAAGTTTAGTGCTACATAAAAATCCTTATATGCCCATTAGGATCCTTTTAAAAAAAGGTGATACATACTAAAAAATTTTAAGAGAGCTATCTTATATTCTAAAATATAAGTCATATCTCTAGATGAAAATTGACCTAGGCATTTATGAACCAAATAGATCTAGTTTTTAACACAAAATAAGCAGAATAAAAGTTAAGATTGTCAAACTGGGCTGCATAAATTACTTAGCTTCAATTGACCCTGGCATATTTACATTAGATGTAAAAAGGAGCTTCAACTTTGTCATTAAGTACTTGCATATTTTCATCTGGTCCTGTGATATAAAACACTAAACAATGAAAATCACACACAGGGGAAGAAAGCAAAGATTACCTTCACAGCTGGCAGCATGTCTAAGGAGTCCAGTATGAACAGCACTACTGCTTGCATCAGCATCATAAATTGATTAAATTGCCATGTCAGACTAAAGAGAAAAGTTGATATGAAAATGGCGAGAAGTGTCAGCCTCTGTAAAAAGAAAACCTTTGTATAATTTACATGTCTCTAGTAATAAAAAACCCTGCAGACAAGTTTTCTCAAGAGCAGCCAATATCTTCTATAAACCAAATAGAAAAACCATAAACTGTTGCTCTGAAAACCCTTGCATTTGTTATTTAAGCTCTAAATATCCTAAAGTGACACTCTGCATATAAATATTCACATACGGTATGTGTATTCCACACTATTATGGAGGCGATAATGCACCAAATCACATCTCAAGAGCAAATGGCTTAAAAATTCTGACAGTTTCACAGAAAGTGTGTGTGGGCTTGCTGCAACTATTTAAGGGTAGATTATGTAGAGTACATTTTTAACATAGAAAATGAAAACATTTTCTTTGCAAAGTAGGAAAAAGCTCAGAAAAAGAAAATTTAACTCGAGTTAAAAACTTGGTCATGGAATAAGAACTATTCACATGGATTGGGACACTAGGCATCACACATTCTTCAAAGCTTCTTATATAAAATTGGGGAATTAAAAATATATAAAGTTTTATAGAAACTTACTTCAGAAAGAGAATGCAAGTTTGGTCTCAGGAAATATGTAATCGCTGCTATTTGAATTGCAAAGAAGGGCAGTGCCCAGTTCTCCCTCAGTGGGATGGTAAACTCAACTCTGGTGGTATCTATTCTGCACAAAGAGAACACAAGTGGCCAAAGTGATAGTTTTTACAATAATTTCCCCAAAGATCTTCTAAAGTGAAAGATATATTACATTAAGCACAATCATACTTAGATCCTGGTAACTGGCTCTCAATAGTTAAAATTGTCCTAAAAGTAGCTAAAATCATCAGTATCTCCATAACATAAAATTCGCACTGAGAAAATTTAAGCAACCTGTCCAAAGGTATGTATTTAAGTGGTGGAACTGAAAGTCCCACGAAAGTATCGTGCCTAATATGCAGCATATGTCTAACGGCTCCTTACTTTATTCTCTAACTGCATTATTGCTGACAGACAACATTGTGTATTCTGCCTCTCTGTGTACACATTTTAGTGCTTTATATGTGAGTCTTCAATTTGTCACTGACAATAATTTTTGTTCTGTTTCGTTTGTAGTACCAGGGATTGAACCCAGGTGCGTTCTACCAGTGAGCTACATTCCTAGTTCTTTTTGTTTCTTTATATTGAGATGGTGTTTCACTAAGTTGTCAAGGCTGACCTGGAATTTGTGACCTTCCTGCTTTAGCCTCCCCAGACACAGGGAATACAGGTGTAAGGCCAGTGCATCTGGTTTATCAGTGGCAACACTTTGTAAAAACTTCTTGTCTGTCTAGAATGGGAACTCCTAGAGAGCAATTGTAGATAAGTGTTCATCTTTGCACACTTTATAGCAAGAACCATGTCTGTACATACTAGGCATTCAATACACGACTCTGTGTGTGTGCCTGTATAAAGTGACCTTCTCAGTCTCAATTTCCTTTCTCCAAAATGGGCATAATAGTTGGGCATGGTGATGCATGCCTGTAATCTCAACAGCTCCGGAGGCTGAGGCAGGAGGATCGTGAGTTCAAAGCCAGCTTCAGCAACTTAGTGAGATCTTGTCTCAAAATAAAAAATTAAAAAACAAACAAAAAAAGGCTGGGGATGTGGCTCAGTGGTTAAGTGCCTATGAGTTCAATCCCTCCTACAAAAATAAATAAATAAATAGGACACAATAAAAGTACCTATACTACAGGGTTGTTAACAGAATACACATAAAGTGCCTTTTAAAATGGCTGGCATAGTAAGCACTCAATAGGGCTACAAAAAAAGTAATTTGCTTAGGATTACAAAACAAAATCTGTATAAGAACTCATGCTTAAGTTATAATTTCACTACTGAATATTCGTGTTGCTCCTGTAGATCAGGCAATGTATCTTTTCAATATATCTTGATTTTTTTTTAAAGTTCTATTTCATATGGCTCCAGTGGTTTTGTACAGTGCTTTATGCTTTATACTTTGCTAATTGAGAACTAGACATAATCCTATTACGACTGATGGTAAAGATATTATTACAACTCTTTTTGAGAGATGAGATATGTGGCTGGAGAAATGTTGATCACATAGCAAACAGGTAATAAAACTGAAATTATTAGATATTTCCCTTGTTCTATAATATAGTGTTCTGTTTCTCAGCTGGAAATATAGGTAAAAAAGACTTCCTATCTTACCAAGCAAGAAAAATGTAGCAAACCACTAAGTGAACCAAAGAGAAAATGCTCCCAACCAAGTACAGCAGAAGAAATTTCTTTGAACTGGAAATAAAGTAACGTCAATTTTTACTTTCACTTTGGAAAGGAAGAGAGACATACTGATTCCAACTCACCTATTTGTGACATACCAGAAAGCTGCCAGCATTCCTGACAGCCAGGTACCACTAAGAAGCCAGCTGGTTATGTAAAGAGCCGTGACGTAGATTGCTTGGAGCCCAAATAAAGTGTAAATATAAAAATAAACCGGCTCTAAGTATTTCTGTTAAAGAGAGCAATAAAAAATGTTTGTCAGAGAAGCCACAACCCACCTTATTGCCCTTTAAAAAGATATGACAGGAGAAATTCAGTACTTGGAAGCTTGCCATTAATTCCCAGCAGCCCATCCAGACCACCCTTCCCATCCAGAAGTGTGTGAGCACTGGTCTTCCCACCTTCAGGAGAGGAGGGAAGAATGGCCCTTTTAAGCCTTCATACTTAAGACAACTTTACACTTAACTTTGTCCAATTTTGCCTAATTCACAGGAGAAGTAGTCATTGTGATGTGCTAATCTTACAATTTTTTAATCTCAAAGATAAAACAGGAGTGATTACATATTTCCAAATGAAAATATTTCCAACTTTGCTATAAACTAGGAAATATCTATATGTAAGAATCTTACAAAATATAAATAAACAACAATATTATAAACAAAAAGTAAAGTTCACAGAATACATGGAGAAAAATTAGGGTGATGTTGATTTTCTACCAGACCATTTGAAGATTAGAAGAACACAGGTGAAACTTTCAATTCAAAATGGTGGATTTTGACTTTCATCTGATATTAACAACTCTATGTCACAGGATATGACATACCTGTATGGGTAGAACTCTATATAAAATACTGAGAAAAACCTCTTGGTAAATATTCATTCGTTGAAGAAGGTTAATTGTCCTCATAGATTCAGTTTTATTATCATAAATTAAGCCACGAAAACCTAAGAATGATATTGGAAAATTCAGAGAAAAAAGTTATAATTGTTCATCCGTTCAAAATTATCCTATATTCTTTAGAATGTATCAGAGAATGTGGTGGGCATTGGGGTTGTAATGGTAAGCAAGAAAATAGTCCTACCCTCAAATAGCTTCACATGTGTTAGACAAGATGTAAACATTTATGCAAACATAGTACATTAAAAAATTTATGACAAAAAACCCCCCAAACAACTGTTGTGATTGCAATGAAAAAAGAAGACACATTTTTTTTCTACAGAAGTTCAGGTAAGAGGATTTTACACCTTGCACACCCTCTTACATGTGACGTGCAGCACTCCCTGGGATGGGCTGGGCCATTTGACTCTCCCAGTCCCCTGGCATGTCAGCAGATGTGACACATGCCGTGTCTGAGCAGAGGCTCTAAGAGGGGACGTGTGTTTCCACCAGCTCTTGCTCTTTCCCTTTACCAAGTCCCTGGCATGTTCCAAAAGAGGCTGGACTGAGAGATACGTGGGGGAGAGCAGAGCTACTGCTGCCTCTCAGCACATACAATGGGAGCAAGAAACAAACCCATTGTTATAGAAATCCATGGTTACCCTGAAGTCATTTGCTACTGAAACGGAGCTGACTAACATAAGGTATGAGTAGATGATTCCCAGAAGAAAACCTGCCTACCGTCCTTTAGTCCAGGAAAAGATGCTCAACCTTGCTCCTATTAAAAGAGTGCAAATTGAAACTGCACTGAGATACCATTTCTCACCTATCAGCTTGGCAAAAATCAAGATCTTTGACAATCTACTGTGTTAGTGAGGTTTTAAGGAAGTCGACTCTCCCACACTGCAATGCAGCGCAAAATGGGATTATCTCTATGAAGAATTTTGCAACACACAACAAAATAATGTGTATTTGTCCTTTGATCTGGGAAGCCCGTAGCTAGGAATCAATTCCAAAGACAGACTGGCAAAAACACAAAATTATATGGGCACAAGGTCATTCATGCACAACCGTCTTTAACAGTAAAGAATCAGAAATGACCCAAGTGCCCATTGACAGGAGGTGTTGGGGATGAAACCATGTTCCTGTTGATTTCATATGTTGAAGCCCTAACCCCCAGTGTGACTGTATTTGGAAAGGGAGGGCCTCTACGATGTAATCAAAGTTAAGTGAGGGGCTGGGATCGTGGCTCAGTGGTAGAGCGCTCGCCTAGCACGGGCGATCCTCAGCACCACATAAAAATAAAGGCATTGTGTTGTGTCCATCTACACTTAAAAAATAAATATATATTTAAAAAAAAGTTAAGTGAGGTCATAAGGGTGGGGACTTAGTCTGAAAGGTTGGTGTCCTTAGAGGAAGAGGTATAGACAGCTTGCTTTCCATCTCACACACACTTTTCCCCTGCGTGCATAGAGGAAGGCATATGTGAGTACAAGAACTGGAATGGGCCTTTAAAACCAAGGAAGAGAGGCTTTACTCCCTGCCAGACATGGTGGAACCACCTGTAATCCCAAATGTTTAGTTAGGGAGGCTGAAGCAGGGGGATTGTGAATTCAAGGCCAGCCTCAGCAATTCAGCAAAGGCCTAAGCAACTTATGAGATTCTCTTTCAAATTAAAAAGGGATAGAGAAATGGCTCAGTGCCCCTGGGTTCCATTCCTACTACAAAAAAAAAAAAAAAAAAAAAAAAAAAAAAAAAGAAAAAAGAAAAAAGAAACCAACCCTAATGGCACCTTGTCTCCAGTATGGAGAGAAATGAACTTGTTTAAACTACACAGTCTGTGGCATTTTTATGGTAGACCTAGAATACTAAAGCAAGACTGTTAGATGTTGGGGTCCCTGCAAAATTCATATGTCAAAGGGCAGGGCCTTAAAAAAAAGGGACACAGAGAGTTTTATTGTCCTTAAAAAAAGGGACACCAGAGAGTTTGCCTTCTGCAAGTCTGGAGGACAGTCTTCACCAGAACCTGACCAGCACCCTGATCCCAGACTTCCAGACTTCTAGAACTGTGAGAGAAGAGATTTCTGTGGCTGAAATCTATGGTATACCCAGTCTATGGTATTTTGTTATAGCAGCCCAAGCAGACTAATAAAGGAGATCACTTTTATAATTCATGTCTATCCACACAAAGGAGCATCTTTATACTCTACTACAGAATGATCTTCAAGATCTTTGTAAAGGTGGAAAAAGCAAAATAGGAGACAATGTATATAGTAAGCAGATTTTCTGTAACAAAGAGAGAAATATGAACATATTCAAGTAACTTAAAGCATTAACAGAAGAATAAATAGAAAACTAATAAAAAAGATTAAGGCTGGAGTGTAGCTCAGTGGCAGAGTGCCCACCTCACATGCACAAAGCCCTGGGCTCTATCCCCAGCACCACCACCAAAAAGCAAACAAACAAACAAACAAACAAAAGGTTCTCTGTTTATCATTTTGAGTTTGAAACTTTGTAAATATTTTTTTAAAATAAGTTAAAAATAATAAATAAAAATTTTATAACACAATTCCTAAAAAAAACAAAAACAAGATAAAACAAATAAGAGCTAGTGGCTTGGTCATGCAGACAGAACTCTTTCAGGTGATTTGAAAAACAAAGGAATGTGACTGTGTATCCCTAGGTAGCTTCAATCCTAAGGTAAGAAGAAAATACAGACAGCTTGAACTATTTTCAGGTAATCATACTGTTAGTAGCAATATTATTGTCATTTTGAAAATCATATGTGTGTGTGTGTACCTATATATTTACATATAGCATGTAAGTGATAACATTAATGTTGTAAGGAATCAAAAATTTCACTTTAAGAAAAGATATAAATATGAAATTAAAAAATACAAATTGTTGAGGCTGGGGATATGGCTCAGTTGGCAGAGTGCTTGCCTCACATGTGCAAGGCCCTGGATTTAATCCCCAGGATCATAAAAAAAAATTGTTATCATAACTTTGCTCTGAAAATAGTTATATTCATATTTTCTCTTAGGAAAAAAAATCATACTTCCTAGCTCTCTGCTCACTACAAAGGACTGGAAATAAAGACCAATCTAGTAACAATAAATGCTCCCAACACAAAAGTTAAAGTCTTTAAACAGAAGGAACTAGAGCTCCTTGGAGAAAGAGCTGATTCTAGATCAGGGGTAGAAAATATACAAAATGGGCCTCAAATATTTTGTCATGCTCCTCAAAAGCAAGGGAGTTGTCAGAGACCACGGGTGGTCATGTCAAAAAGACAGCAGGCAATTCGAAGAGCACCCTAAACTACAACAGATTGAGCAATGTGAATACAAGAAGGTGGCTGAGCATCAAAACACATCAATATTATATTAAAAATCCACAAATTTCTTAAACAAACAAAATCTTAACTGGCTGCTAGAAAGGTAACTCATTCTAAGCTGAGTGTGGTGGCAGATGCCTGTAATCTCCACAATGCAGAAGGCTGAGGCAGGAAGGTCACAAGTTCAAGGACAGCCTCAGCAATTTAGTGAGACCCTGACTCAAAAATAAATAAATAAATAATGAATAGGCCCTAGATGTGGCTCGGTGGTAAAGAGCCTCTGGGTTCAACTCCTAGTACAAAAAAAAAGAAAGAAAGAAAGAAAGAAAAAAGCAAAGAAAGGCAGGCAATTCATTTTAAAAAATAACAAAGGGAAAGGATTAAACTGGTTTACTGAATAGTTGCTGAGAACATATTTTTCTTTAGAGATGAATTTTGTCCAGCAATGAAAGAAGGAATGATGGAATTAGAATACCACCATTTTGTGTGAAATGAATATATAATTAATGGATGTAGATAATAATCATCATCAATTGTGCTGAAACAATTAGGGGGAAGCTTCTCTATTGAGGATTTAGTAATAGATAGATCATTTTTAGCCTGCAGATAGATACTGGGTACCCTCTGATGTGGAATACAGAACACCATCTAGGAAGTACTCTTTCCCAATAGTAGAACAACATCTGGGCAAACCTCAATCTAACAATTAACAGGAAATTCAGCAAAGAAATATTTAAATGACACTATAGGGCTCCAGAAAAATTCAGAAAGTGGGAAAATATGGGGACATTGGGTAAAAGACTTCTTCCAATTAATATATATTTTCAACAAAAAATTACAGGGAAAAAGATGAAAAGATACAAATTTAAGGAAACAGTTAAAGCGATATCAAATGATTGCAATTGAGACATTCTTTGCATTTCCAAACTATATTAAAAGTCTGTTAAGGCAAAAGGAAATGAGAATACTCACTACTGAAACATACTGATATATTTACAGATGAAGGAATGTTTTGGAGATTTACTCCAAAATGATCTAGGTTGAGGTCATTTGGATATAGAGAAAACAAGGTTGGTCATGAGTTGGTAACTCTTTTAGCTGAATGAAGGATATATAGAAATCCATTACAGGATTATCTCTACCATTTTATATGTCTGAAATCTTCTAAAAGAATAATTTTAATGAATAACAAATTAATTGAAACAGGTCAAGCAATGAGTTCGTCGTGATACTTAGAGAATGCTTTCTCAATTTCAATACCACTGATATTTTGGGCCAGATAGTTCTTTGTTGTGGGGGCTGCTAGGTGCACTGTAGGAAGTTTGGCTATACCCCAGCTTCTTGCTCACCAGATTTTAGTAGCATACCCCTTCGACTTGTGACAACAAAAAAATATTTCCAGACATTCCATATCTCCCCCAAAGTGTAAAATTGCCCCCCTCCCAAATAAAAAGAATTGCTTTAGAGAATGCTAGATAAGCAACTCATAATTCTGAAAACTGGTAAATACAGTCTATTCTTATTACTCATGGTAGTTATTTTCTATAAAGTTATAGTAAAAAGTGAAATATTCAATACTGAACTAATAGGAAATAATGGGTTGGGTTCTTGCAAGTTGATGATTATAGACTTCTATTGACTGGTCAGTGTATAACCTTGTTATGTGTTTTGTTTAAAGACCCTTTCTTTAATATATTGTTTAAACTCACAATCAAGCACTGTAACTCATGCCTGCACAAAGCTTATCTAACACACATTTTCATATGTAACCCACATGTTTTCTCTTTCTTTCCTAAGCATTCTTGCACTTAGGAACACAAGACAGCACTTTCACACTCTGTTTGGGGGCTATGTAAAACTGCAAAATCAGCAACAAACAGCATAAAAATGTAAAAAACTATGACACAACAGAGACTGTAAAAAGGACACAATAATATGAGAGCTGAAACCAGAGGTAGAACATTGGCCCTGCTTTAGTCTCTGGTGAGAATATCCATGTTGGGCAACTAAGATTTTTTGATGCTCTGGACATGTCCATGAAGGACTGTAAAAGTGCCATGAATACTGATTTTGGGATCATAAATAAATTTTAGTGAGATGATTTTGGAAATAAGGAATTTGTGAAAAATGAGGATTGATCTTATGGGGCGAAATCAATACTTCGCCTGTCTTTCTTATATGAACTGAACTTCAAGGTAACCAAACAAATGAGGAAAACGAAGAAAGGTTTTCTACAGAAGAGAGTTCCAACTAATAAATATAGGGAGAAACGAAAGAAGTAGGATATTATTATTTTTTAGTCATTGTATTTTGCAAAATGGAGATAGGTAATAATCATCAACGGTTGCTCAAACCATTAAGTGAAAGGCTATGGGTAATTAGCTTTGTTAGGGAGGAATCTGGTTATCAACACAGAAAACAAGTGATTTGTTTTTATGGCACAAAAAGATAACCAAAATTTCATGTTTCCTACTGTGATAAAATTAGAAGTAGAAAACATTACCCATGAAGAATTCCTACCCAAAATATCACAGCTGAGTCCAGCCAAATCCCAGAAAAGGGCAATTCTCTCAGGTATACTCAGGTTAGGGATAAAGGATATATTAAATAGAAGAGGTTCTTTGGGGGGCTTCCACCGGGTGGAAGAAAAGCAGAGTATGGCTCTGACCCACTTAGGTCAAGCGAGAACATAGGAAGATGGCAACTGCAAAATAAAGAAATGAATGGGGAAATTGGGAACAAGAGGGACAACTTAGTTTTCAGAACCAAAATATCCACTGTTTTTAGATCATACTCCTTTCGCCTGCAAAGACTTCTTCCAAAATCATCACAAAAAGAAATCAACAAAACTTAAAAAAAACAAAACAAAACCCTGCAGAGAGGTTAGTTTGGGGATGGAACAGAGATGGAAGACAAGGCCAGGAGGATTATATAAAGTATTATATAACCTCTTCCAGAGCAAAACAATTTCATGAAATGATTAGAAATTAACAAGGAAAAACTGCATAAGTTCAGAGTAAAACTACACAAATTCTACAAAGCATTTAAGATGCTTTAGTGCAAAAGATGCTTTGACTGAAATTTTGTAAAGATGCAGTCGACTCCCAATGAAACTGTTAATTGTAATTACCTTGCATGAGGGTTGGAGCCTGCAGCATTTGCTTGTAGTAGGAGTAATACAGTCCACATTCTGTTCTGAATGAGATTTCTCGCTCCACTTCCTGAAATAAAGTCAGATCTACTGGGTTTATGTGACCTAGTTTTGTTTAAATGTGTATTATCACTGTAGAAACAGGTTACACAACTACAACTTTAAAGAGAAAAATAACTCTGCAAATGTAGTCTCAAGAACACCGTCCTGAGATCTTGACAAACCAGAACCACAGAAGGCTGATGATTGCTGGAATTGGAGGATGGGCACATGGGCACATACACTATTTTACCTTTGTGGATATTTAAAGTTTTCCACAATAAACCATTTCTAAAAATGGAGATATGGTTTATTAGTTCTATGTAAGTTTATGTATCAGAGTTAATTTATTTCATGCAAAATTAAATTTCATGAAAATATGGGGACACTGGGTAATGAGGATGAGGAAGACTTTCTGGAATAATCCTATTAATACTCTTAGATGGTGCATCTAATGCACATGTAAAAGTATCAACAAACAGAAAGTTCTGATCTATGTCACGACAGATTCATTTAACCCAGTGTTTTAAAAACCAGGATCTGTACCAATTTAACTCAGAGAAATTAAACATTGAAAAAAGGTCCACTGGGTTCTGGAATTCAATTCCATCAGTACACTTCTTTACAGAAGGGTCCAGAGAGGATGACATGGCTTTCTTAGTTCTCACAGTGGCTACTGATTCGTGCGCAGGCGACCTGGGAGTGATGTTGACCCAGTCATCTTTAGTCTCCGAGAAAAACTGCTCCATTGCTCTTGATGACAAAAAACCCCAAACTGTAAAGATTCATTTCTGGATTGTTCAAACTCCTACTTTGTCAAATAACCACAGAGGCCGTGAATTGATGTTAACTGAGCATATAATTGCTTTTGTCCACGTAAATAAGGGGGAAAACAAACAAACCAACAACGTTAATTACAGGCCTCTTCTTTTCTCCAGCTGCCTTAAAGGGAAGTACTAACTGTTCCTTTTGATGGAACATCCTACAATGACAACTGGAGGGCCCAATTAGCCCTCCACATCTATGGGCTTAATTTCCTATATAGTTCTAGAATAAAAAACCAGCCTGATAAAAGGCCCAGGGTGGGGGGGAACACTGCTCAGAGTTCTAAAAGTGGAAAGCTTATGTGCCCCACCCCGCTCTGTAATATACCCAGAACAGTGAAAAACAGAGGGGGATCTAATTAGTAAAAATGCATTCAAACATGATTAATTGGTAATCTTGGCACCAGCTGTATAGAACCAAATGCTATACTTTATTAGACAGACACTTGCAAGTTTTACATCTGCTTCATGCTAAGAGAACATCTGCTTTGCTCAAACACTTTTCCAGTTTTACAGCAATTTATACTTTGCCTGGTAGATCATGCCAACGCAAATGTACATCAATAGAAGTTACCCTCTACAGAATGCAAAACGAACAAATATTCCACATTTTAATTTGCATAGGTTCCATAGGGAAAGCGATGTTTGTGGAGAGAATGAAAACATCTCTGAAAATAATGAGAAAAATAAGTAGAAAGACAGAAGAACTGCGTTTTTAAGGAACAGTACAGCAAAACCACTCTAGTAGCTTATATAGCAATTTAATATGAGTACTAAAAGGAAATAGCATTGAGGGGAAAAAATGGCTGTTTACAATTAATGATTTGCATCTCTCTCAGGCATTAAGGCAAGTTGCTGGCAATGAAGGAAAGGTTAATGAGCCCTTTTAGACTGATGACACTAAATTTGGAAACACATCAAATTAATTAAAAAATAAAGTCTAAAACTAATTTCATAACTTTTGTTTATAAAAATTGTGCCTCTCCCTGCAAACAATTAGGCTGCTGGAAGTCGGGGGCCAAAGAACAATTAACTTCATGAATGTAATCCATTTCAGAATTTGGTGAGCAAATCATCTCACCAAGAAACAGTGGTGCATGATAAGACAGCTGTTCTTAAAGTTCTGCACTGGGAATCATGCCCTCAGCACACATATTTATGGCACATACATGGTTTATTGTCTGGTTAAATTCATGTCCATCTGTTAGAATGGAATGATTCTTGCCCTAGAGTCGATCAGAGCCGTGACACGTGAGGGCTGCCAAGCAGCGTGTGCGGAAGGTTAGAGTGCTGGGGAAGGGCCAGTCAGTCCAGTGGGCCTATGCTGAAGCAATCAGAGTTTTGGTGCTTCTGCAGTTACTACTGTGTGGATTAACCCCGTCTATTCCAGAGACCTCTTGCTTTGCTGGAGAACTCAATGGGAAGACATGCAATCTGAAATGTCGAATAGAGTAACAGTGCAAAACATTAGCAAAATATGTAGAAAAAACACAAGTGACCCGAGTACTTGTAGTCAATGAGAATTACCTCTCCTCAGTATTTATTTGAACATTCATTGGCTAGGGAAATAAATAGGTATAAGAATCGAGTCCCTGACCCCAAGGAGTTTATGTCTCAAGAAAAAAGAACAATGCATTGTAAACAAAGAAAATGACCAATCAAGGAAACAGGTATCAGAATTAAAGAATGAATCGCCTTTTGCCTCAACCATTAAACTAGCTTTTCTACTGGAGATTGTGCATCTTTCTCCAATCTATCTTCCTCAATCATTCATTCAGTAAATACCTAATTTTTACATTTTTATTTTTTTATGGTGCTGGGCCTTGCATATGCTCTACTACTGAGCCAAATCCCCAGCCCTCAGTAGATACCTCTGACTACCAAGCGAGGAGCATTTTTCTGCTGAGAGATTCAGCAGGGAATAAAATGGACAAAAATCTTGCCAGTGCAGTGGTGTCCACCTGTAGTCCCAGCAGCTCCAGAGGCTGAGGCAGAAGGATTTTGAGTTCAAAGCCTGCCTCAGCAAAAGTGAGGTGCTAAGCAACTCAGTGAGACCCTGTCTCTAAATAAAATACAAAATAGGGCTGGAGGTGTGGCTCAGTGGTTGAGTGCCCCTGAGAGCAATTCCCAATACTATCCCCCCCCCAAAAAAAAAAGGATAAAAATCTGCCTTCATCAAATTTATAATCTAGGGTAGAGAGAGAAGAGAGCAAATTATCAAGCAAAATCCAAATTACACCAGGCAGTCCAGTGCTATGAGGAAAGCAGAGAACAGGGATGGGAGGGCGGGGGAGGTGCTGTGACTTCACAGGAGGTGGGGAGGGACACAACGGAAACTGGAGGGGTGATAAGACCAGGTAGGGAGCTACATGGATACCTGGGGAAGAGCATGCCAGTCAGAGAGCAGCCCAAGGATACCCTGAACAGCAAGGAGGGCAGGCAGCCTGAGTGGGGGAACAGGAGAGGCAGTTAATAATGCCTGGAGGGGCGGGAGAGAGGTCACAGGGGCCAGATCACCTGGTCTTGGTAGGTGTCAGGACTTCCAGCTTGTAACTGAGAGCCAGAAGGGGCATAGGGTGTGTGTGTGTGTAGGTCAGGAGTTCGGTTTCAGGTATGTTAAGTTTGAATGTGAAGAGTTTTGAACCGAGACACAAAATGATTTTAAAAGGTCCACTGACTGCTGTGTGCAGAATGGACTATTTAGAACAAGAGCAAAAACAAATAACAACAAAAAACCACACACGCATACATACACACACACACACACACACACACACCCCAAACCAGTAAGGAAACTGCTGTAATAATCCAGGTGAGGAAAAAGGCTGAGGCCATGAAAGATGACTGGATTCCAGACACTGTAAAGACTGAGAGGATCCGGGGAGGGATTTCATGTGGCCTTGAGAGAGCTCTGGTTCTCAGAGGTTTCTGCCCTGAGCGGCTGAAGGATGAGGGTGCATGTTATAGATATGGAGACCTAGGGAGAAACAGCTGAGGGAGGGGAGGCCAGGTGTCTGATTTTGGAACTGTCATGTCTAAACATGCTACTGGACATTTAAATGAAAGTGGCCAAGAAGGCTGCTGATAAAAAGGCCTGGAGCCCAGAGGGAGTCTGAGAAGGGTCTGAGAGGGAGTCCCCAGATGAAGATGGCATTTAAGGCTAAAGAGAAGGCTGTTTTCAGAAATAAGGGGGGGGGGCAGGAAAGTCCTGGGGTTCTCTTACCCATGGTGTAAGAGGCCAGGAGGCTCTAAAAGGGCTGAAGGATCAGCTGGAGAGGCAGCAGTAAATCCAGGAGAATGTATCTCAGGAGCCAAGGAAAAGTGCCAACAGGCCAAGTGAAATGGGGCCTGAGAAATGACCACTAAATTAAGCATCTTGGAGGTCACTGTGACTCCAACAAGAACATTTATGCTTAAAGCCTGACTACAGTGGTTTCAAGAAAGAGACATTCAGAGGAGAGAAAATAGGAACCTACTGTTGGTTGACCAACTGTTTGTTGGTGCCGAGGTGAATGGAAAAATGGGTCAGCCTCAGAAAGGGGAAGTGCAGTCTCAATAGGTGTTTTCTTCCAGGATGGAAGAAAGGGAAAAATGAGAGACTCGATTCCAAGAGCAGTGTGCTTCAGCGAGAGGCAGGGATAACTGACAAGAAGAGAAGTCGGCACAGATGGGCAGGAATCAGGCAGCTGCAGTGTGAAAGCACAACTATGCTTTGCTCCTACTCCCTCAGTTAAACAGGAGCCAGTGTCACCCTCGGATCGTGAAGAAGGCAGGGCTGGTGAGAGTGAGGAAGGAAGGGGTTACAATAGCAGGTGAGGAGAGCTGCAGTCTAGGCTCAAAGGAAGTGGAAGAGGACAGCCAGGCAGCACCGAACGGGCCCCTTCCAGGTCTTCCTTCTCTATTCATTTAGAGTCAACAAATTTGAAAATAAGATATTTTGGTTTCCACATATTTAATTTTTTATACTGCAACCGGCTAAGTTTACTTTTTGCTTGTAATAGTTTTTCCCCCTGATTATTTGCTTGGGTCTTTTTGGTTACATAATCATATCATCTGCAAATCAGACCTTTACCTTTTTTTTCTTTTTGGTACTGGGGATTAACTCAGGGGCACTTGACCACTGAGCCACACCCCCAGCCCTATTTTGTATTTCATTCCGAGACAGGGTCTCACTGAGTTGCTTAGTGCCTTGCTGTGGCTGAGGCTC